GGGAAGGCTTTTTATTTCGCAGGAACTCTTTGTCTTCCCGACTGTTCCTCACTCATCAATTCCTCTTTTCATGTAAATTCCCTGTTGAAATGGTTTCATTTTATTTCAGATTATTTTAACACGTTTTTCTTGTTCAGCTGCAACCTAAGCCGCGTACAGATGTTATGAAACATTTATGAAACTCAATATTTAAATGAAATGTGTTGTTGTTGTTGTTGTGACCTGTGAGAGAGAAAAAAGATTTAACAAAAAAAATGAAAGACGCATTTTTCAACCTGGCAAAGAAAATCGAAATAAGAGCTTTTTTATTTTTTATTTCAAAGCCACGGCCGATGTATGTAAAGGGTGAGAAAAGGTGTTCGAAGCTCTGTTGTCATAAGGAAGGAATCACAGGAGAGGTTCTGGTTCAGTAACTGCATCACTGCTGCCACCTGCTGTTCTGCGGGTAGTGTTGCCTTTAGTAGTGGACGATGCGTTCAGTGCTTTGAGAGCTGACTTCAGCAGCTCTTACATACCAAACGTTACACTTTCATTCCTCTCTATAGTCTGAAGGCTAACAGAGGGATTTGCTCACACTGCATTCAGAGACTCATTTACACTACATTTATTCATAAAAACATGGAGAAATAGTTTTTTTTAGTGCTGTATTTCCTGATTTATGAGTTCATAAACAGAGATATCTAAAATCCCTCTAAAAACATTTGACTCTAATATGTCAAATGAAACAATAATGTTGAACCTGACGTTATCCAATGTTCAGATTTATGTTCTGGAGATGTATGAACATTAGCACATGTCCGATAAGATAATGCATCATTTGCATATTTAAAACTTTTATTTTCGAAAACCTGGAATACAAAAAAATATTGTTTTATTGTTAGTAATCAACTGGGGAAGTTTCTCGGTGATATCTACTAGTTTCTGTCACATTGACCAGCAGAGGGCGCCGTGGTGCCTCACTGAAGAAAGTCTCAGGTTCAGGTCTGGTGTTCTAACAGTTCGCTTTGTTTCATCCACAGTCAGGTGATGTGTGATTGAGTCTAGATTACTTTTTAAAGAGCAGGAGAAGAAGAAGGAGCTGTGCACGGTGCGTCCTCTCATCCTTTGGTCCATCTCGTGCTGGTAAAGGCTCCACATTACAAAAGTTTAAGCTACTGATTTTGTTTGTTTTCAGTCATGTTTTGAGTGTTAATTACACATTTGATTTACTTCAACAGTGAGAAATTACCAGTTACCAGTTTATTAGCTACACTGTTTATATTGTGTAGTGCTGATGGGTGACAGGCCTTTTCCCCGTACGTTGCAGACAATAAAGGACCAAATCAAATGTTTCTTGGGGGACAAAAACCAGGACAGTTAAATGTTCAGCTGCAGCTCCTCAGACCTTCTGGATCCTGACGTCCTCGTCGTGTGAACTTGAAGTCCAGTCGTTGTTTGTTAATCAGCCGTTCAGCCCTCAGAGACTAAATCAAAGAAGCACTCCAGAGAATGACAGCTGTGCCGGAGGTAATTCCTAATGCACGTCCACGATGCATTAAATTAGCTCCAACACCGGCCCAACAGAGCTGAGGGCAATTATTCCCCCCCCCCCCCCCCTTCCTCCCCTGGGACCCCGTTACGTTCCCTCTACCCCCTGCATTCAGGGTTGGCCCCCGGCCCCTCCCCCACTGACAGCATATTATACAAACCCTGGTCTTTACCCACAGACACATTGTGTACGGGCAACATGACAACATTCATCATTTATATTATAACATCATAACCTGCTTGCATGTGTTCAGAGAGAAATAATGGGTTGTATGTTTTTAATTCAGTCCGGTTGTTTTTTAATGTTTACTTATTTATTTTACCTTAGCTGTTTGATTACTCATTTATTATATAAATGTATGCACTGTGTGACAAATAATGGATTATCTTCTTGTATTTTATCTTATCCTACTTATCTTATCTTATCTTATCTTATCTTAGTGAGTAAAAAATTACAAAGCAAAATAGCGGCATCATAACAAGTTTGGACCTGTTCATTTGGGAGTTGGAGTTCATTACTTTGTGGGAAATAAAAAAATGAATTTTTCATTTAAATCCCTCGCTAGGCACCCGTTTGTTTGCCTGAACCACACAGACAACTTGATAAATCTCAACTTTATCATGTTTCCAGTTTTTGATTTCTAAAACAAATCTTTTCTCAAAGTGCAGAACAAATAAAGGTTTTCTAATGTTTCTTTGTCTGCTTTTTACTTTCTCTGTGAAGGTGATTTTAGAAAGGAAAGATTCTACAGAACAAAAAGTCATAAAATATACTTCATCAGAAAACATGCTACTAAAGAGACAAAATCAACAATCGACTACAAACCTCTTGTTCTTTTGTATTCTTGAATACAATTTTAAGAAATAATAAAGTCACAACTTTCTAAACAAAGCTGACTTTTTTTGGTCATCGGCAACAAAATATAGCAGGAAGAGAAAGAAGTGAGAACTAACAATTTATGAAAGAAGATAAGATCTGCTTGTTGTTTTTGCATTTCTTCCACTTATTTAATTTGTTTAAGTTTGACTGTATTGATTTAGTAGACAGCAGGTAACCTTGCTGCATGGCAGAGCTCTCCACTCAGCCATGAGAGATAAGTAGGCGGATACAATAGACATTAATTCAGCATGTTTAAGTGCAGCTGTCTGGTCACCACTGAGCAGGTGCCACCCCCACCCGCCTCCATCCATCCATCCATGTAGCTGTGTTTCATTTGACCAGCTGTAATAAACCCTCTTTCACTGTATGCATTATGATCTCACTGAGCAAAACCAGGGTGGTGGTGATGGTTCGTCCTTCACTCTTTCCATCTGAGGCTGCAACCAACACGTGACCCTCCTCTTTCACTTAATCCCTCATCGTGATAGTGACAAAAGAGCAGGTTCTTTTGTCACTTTATCCCTCCATCTCCCTCCAGAGGAAGACTTTACTATCAGGCAAAAACAACACCCGCTCGGGGCCCAGAGACGGACACGGACCCCCAAGAGTATATCCTAAAATAAAAAAAGCTTAATGTGCACCTGTAAGAGACACTTCAAGGAAGAAAAATGAGGCAGTTGATGTTAGACATCTTTTTAAAACATTCTGCAACAAAAATTCAACACATTTATTATCTAAGAAGGCAGAGAAGGGAAGAAAAATAGATCAGGAAGGGGGACGCAAACTCATCAACATCTCAGCACTCATGCTGCCACTGCATAGTAATGTTTGCATCGATAACTCCGTTCTCACTTGTGATATTTCATGTCATTGAAATAACACAGTAAGTAATAATTTAATTATCTGTGTTCAACAAAAAAATGTTGGCATTGTATGTTTCTACTAACCATGGATATGTTGACTTTTCATAAATATGCTTCATATCAGCACATACGCTTGCAGAAACGCACAATGCCCCGTGATTATTGTTGTGAAACCTTTGGGTTCAGGCAACAAAAGTACTTGGTTAATGTTAATGTACCAACGTAACAATGTCACAACGTTTACATTATAAGAACGTAACAATGTAGCAACTAAAAAATGTATGGAATTTCCCAACGTAACGTGACAACGTAACGTGACAGCGTAGCGTGACAACGTAGCGTGACAACGTAGCGTGACAACGTAGCGTGACAGCGTAGCGTGACAATGTAGCGTGACAATGTAGCGTGACAACGTAACGTGACAACGTAGCGTGACAACGTAGCGTGACAACGTAACGTGACAACGTAGCGTGACAACGTAGCGTGACAACGTAGCGTGACAACGTAGCGTGACAACGTAACGTGACAACGTAGCGTGACAACGTAGCGTGACAACGTAACGTGACAACGTAACGTGACAACGTAGCGTGACAACGTAGCGTGACAACGTAGCGTGACAACGTAACGTGACAACGTAACGTGACAACGTAGCGTGACAACGTAGCGTGACAACGTAACGTGACAACGTAGCGTG